CGACAAATTTGCAGACAGAAACAACAGGAAACAAACCATTTTCTGCTCCAGATCATCATCTTAAATCTAGTAGTGACCAAATTAATCTGTTTCTATGAATAATGAGTTGATACCATAGATGGCATGTCCAGTTCTTGCTAGACAGGTGTCTGTATTCCCTACCTCATGTTACTTTTCAGTAGGAAAAACTAGTAGATGTACGATATCATCCTGTTATCCTTTGTGATGGATTCCCTTAACAAAATATATTAGAACAAAAAGGAATGAAACTTAGTACTTCTGCTACTTATTCTTTTGCTGTTAGGAGGATAAACACCTGTTTCTAGCTCTGAATTGTTAAATCTGACCACTTTCCCCAAAGGTTAAGTACATGATTAGGTCCAGTCCTTTGAGTTGCAATAACACTGAATTGCAGAAATTCATCCAGGGATTAGAATGTTCTTGGGGGCATCTGTTTTGTTGGGGTTATTTTGGGGGGGTTTTTGGGGCTTTTTTTGTTTGTTTGCTTGCTTGCTTCTCCCCCCACTCCCGCTCCCCTCCATTTACAATATAATGAATCCTGCAAGGAGAAAACCTCGTCTCTTTGGAGAAAGTTGCTAATGGATTTAAAAAGGAGAAAAAGCACAATTAACTTTCTAAAGAAAGTCTTTTGTTTGCCTGTGTTTTGTTGTGTGAATATAGTACCTTTAGTTTACAGCAGTGTAAAACATACTAAGAGGAGGCGAGTAGCCCCATCCCTAAAGTCAGAAAAGTGTAAACTTTATCCAGATAGAGTAAATTACCTAAGGTAGATGTTCTACTTGGATGCAACTCCAAGTTTGACACTTGTTTCCAAATAGAAATGAAAGAACAGCAGAACAGGAATGGTATTAGGTGTTCAAAATACTGTCATCTTCACAATGACTAAATATAGTACTTCCCCCGACTCACACATCCCAACGTCTTCTAAAAATAAAATGAGAATTGTTGTCCTTCTCATGAAACCTTTGGCTATACAATGAACTCTTTTCTGCACAGAGCAGCACATTAAGAACAGTTTCAATGTGATTTCTTATGAACAAACTACTACCACTCTTAAGTTTTTCCCATCACAGCTAGACTATTGCAGCAAGCCTTGATGAAATTTGAACTTATCCTACTAGAATCATAGCATACTATTCCCGGGGGCCAAAATTTTCATGAGACTTTTTTTTTTTCCCCCCAAAGATAGAACAATACTTTTTAAAATATTCAGTTTGACAGCAATTAAATACGAATGCCCCTGAACACAGTGCTATGAGTTCTTTGGAATAAATATGCGATATAAAAAAAATCTGGTTTTCCTACATTTGACAGTAGATTATTTGAATGAGAATTATAATTAGAGAAAAGAATAAAAGACAATATTTCAGAACATACTATAATTTGTCTAATTGACTGGTCTTTCTGTTTATTTCTCACTCTCCGTCCACAGCCATCTTATCTTTTTTCTGTCTTTAGTACAACCAGTTAGCTGTCATAGGCGGCATCTGCTATTATACGTATAGGGCCAGCAGTGTAGTTATCTGAGGAGACAAATTGTTCTTCACACAGGTATTCAGCTTTCCTTCTGCTGCTGCTGTTGTCAAAGTAGTAAATATTTAAATAGTGCAGTTATAAATGTAAATAGCTAGCATATTAGCAACAACTCTAAGGGTAGTACAAGAACACCTGGGAAAGAGCTGGGAGTTGTATATCTGTAAAGCTAAGAGATAAAATCAAAATCTCTCATATTTTCTACTTGAACATTAAGATTAACTTGAAACTGACATTAGAAAAGCATAGAGCACTCAGAGCAGCACTTGTATCTCTCTGATCAAGGCCTTTACTATGGTTTTATGGGGTAAGTGAAAACGGCTGTTGTTTCTGAAATATAAGTAGTGTTGTCTGACAAATAGCTGGTATTGCAAAGACAAAAAAAAAAGATAGATACTGAAATCACATGTAGGTTTGTATACATTCTACTGAAATACAAGCAGATGTTTAAGTCAGAGTTGGGGAAAATAAATTTAAAAATAAACTAAGTAGGTACCATTCAGCTGGGAATAATTTTAAATGTTTTTTTTCTTAATCTCCTCACACCCATGCAGGTTTCTAAACCATGTTTAAGAAAGCTATAGATTGTGAGGTTTAAAAAATTGGTACATTTTATTAGAAATCTAAGTTTCATGTCTTTCGTTTAGCTAGAATATTTTTAAAGTTGTAAAGTGGGATTGCTCAAATACCATAGAAGTTAAACTTGAAATTGAAAAGGGAAACAATTTTTTTCCAACCTTTACTATTTTCCAGATAATAATTCCAATTTAAAATCAGAAGATGAAACACACACACAAAATTGTTATCTGTACTGGTTTTGGCTGGGGTAGAGTTAATTTTCTTCATAGTAGCTAGTATGGTAGTAGCTATGGTTTGGATTTGTGCTGTAAAAAGTGAGTAGGCTGGGGGTGCACAAGAAGTTGGGAGGGGACACAGCCAGGACAGCTGACCCCAACTGACCACAGGGATATTCCATACTATATGATGTCATGGTCAGCATATAAAGCTGGAGGAAGAAGGAGGAAGGGAGGGACATTCAGAGTGATAGCGTTTGTCTTCTCAAGTAACCATCATGCATGATGGAGCCCTGCTTTTCTGGAGATGGCTGAACACCTGCCTGCCCATGGGAAGGGGTGAATGAATTCCTTGTTCTGCTTTGCTTGCGCACACAGCTTCTGCTTTACCTATCAAACTGTCTTTATCTCAACTCATGAGTGTTCTCACTTTTACCCTTCTGATTCTATCCCCCATCCCACCGGGGATAAATGAACGAGTGGCTGTCTGGTGCTTATTTGCCAGCTGGGGTTAAACCACGACACATCAAAAATTTGGTTGCTTCCTCCACTTCACTTAAGGGCTGAAAATATTCAATTTGAAACTAAGAGTTCCCTCCTACTCTGAAAACACCAGGGAAAAATAGCACTCCTTAATCAGAAAGATAAATAACAGCATTCAGTATCAAGAAAAAGGTACAAACTTAGGTTCCCACTGTCTTGAGATATCTACTCGCTCTCTTTATTCTAACGAGTCACAGGGCTGTAGTTTCTATCACAGTTATGTGTGTGTCCCTTCTCTTACGTCACAATACTGCTTTTGCTCCCTGGGGGAAGAGAAAAAAAAAAAAGAGAATTTGTAGGAAAAGAAATATGAAATGAACATAGGAAAAGTGGAAAGGAATCACTTCAGAAAAGATAAAAGGACAGGAGAAGGAAGGATGAGTCTTCTTATTCAGGCGCTACATTGAGACTTAAGAGTTCCTGACTTTGACACAGACTTCTCGTAGTTTTGGACAGGTTGCATAGGATGTAAATGTTGAGTGACTAATTGTAGAATAACCAGGTTCCAAACACTGGTGGTTCTTGATGTGGCCCGATAGCATCTTCTCAAGGTGAGATCTCCCTTTCCTTTAATTCCTATTCTGAAAAATTGGAATAATATATAGCTGCCTCAAGGGGGTGTTGTCTCTCCTCATGAATGTCTGTATCTCATTGCAAAAAAGTGCCTTTCAACATGAAGAGTAGTAGTGCAGTGATGGAGAATCCTCAAACACCTTTGGGAGAACTCAGGGAGGAGCAAAGAAAGGAATGGAAATTGGATGTTTAGTTTAAAAGGAAGGATAAATGGCCACGGGAAGTACCATGTGCAAAAACCAGTTACAAGTCTGTCAGAAAGTTACAGCTTATTTGCTCCGTTTTGTTCCTTCTAAAAGAGAGTTCTGGTCAGGAAGGAAAACTGCATCATAGAAGCCCATGTGATTCGTGATTTTTTTACTACCAAGGATTATCTTATCTTGTTTCATCATCATAAAAGCATCTGTGGCTTGAAAAAAAACAAAACTAAAAAAGCTTTGGCCACACCAGCATAATTAAGGAACAAAACCCGTAAGGGGCAGTTCCTAAGGTGGGTTGGAGCTGGTCAGCCATGGAACAAAACTCTTCTCAGCGGGAGCAAATGCATTGCCCCCCACCCCTACACTCCTGACCAGCAACATGCGAATGTTTATTCCTGTACTCCTTTACCTCAGCTTTTGTTTAAGAAGCGAACAAAATGTCAGCCTCCTGAAGGAACCCAACTGCATCAAAACCAAACAAGAGCCTTCTGGACCTGCTGACAGTATCATCCAATCTCTCCCCTTGACTGCTCTGCTCCGGCTAGACTTTTTGGTGCAGTATTAGTGGAGTTAGTTTTTTGGACAAGGCTTTAATTCAGAGTCCAATCTTCAGAGGCAAGTTCAGGTCAAAGGGCTTTGTTCAATTAGGTTGACCCACCTTTTACCAAGGGATTCTTCAGGAGCTGTTTGGGTTTTTCTCTGCAGCAGATCTGTGGGGTTCGACAGTTCCCAGCTACTGCTCATCCTTCGCCACTACATCCTCTGCTTTCTCAGTAAGGAGAGCAAGGATATGAGTAAATTAAGTCATTTAATAGGAGATGCGAGAAAACACATAACCAACCTTTGAAATTTATTGCAGGGATTGTTATAACCTGATGGTCTTAGCTATTAATAAGAGACATTTCCAGTGAAGTAAGTTGTTTTGACTGAACTCATCTTCAGACCTACATACATGGACTCTAGAATTTAGCCAAAAATTTACTGCGAATAGTAAGTTAAAGACAATTACACAAATAATTTCAAAGCTATTAATGTAAATTACTTTTTTCTTTAGCAATTTCTGATTTTACTGCATTTTACAGGCAAACCAATAGTCATCCTTTGGCTGAATTGCTATGAAACAGTAGTTCTGCTAACGCTTTACTGATGTTGCTTTCTTATTATTTAGCATCTGGGTTTGATACTAATTATTTAGCTTGTATAGCAATGGCTGTCACAGAGTAAACAACAAAATAGCAGCTTGAATTACAGAAAGCAAAAATCAACCAACCACAAAGAATACAGTAAAACTGTTAGAAAACACAAACTATAAAATTATTTTCTTTCAGTTACAGAAATGGAGTGCCATTATTCTGTGTGGGGAGTTTTGGCATTTCTGAGTTTGGCTCTGATTGTTTCATTGATACTGAATATTTCACACTATATGCAAAAGAAACAAGGTAAGTAACATTGTCTCTCTTACATTCTGTAAGGAATAGAGCTGACGTGTTCAAAGTGTCTGTAGAGAAAGCTATCACTGCTGGGAGATTTCAAGGCAACAAATTGATTCTTTTCAATCTTAAAGATATCTTTTGGCAAGAATGATTCTAGTTGAGAGGATGTAACTTTGAAAGTTTTTAGAAGAGTCAGGAATGATTACAAAATGATTGCTAGCTGCTCAATCTGCTGCTAAAAGCTACCTAATTCCACTCTCTGAAGACAAACCAACAGAACATGTACAAGGTAAAGAACTTAGTTCTGGCTAAATTTTTATTTTTAAAATATATTTTTAACATCTGTAACTTTCTTTTTTAAGTGTACTTTTCATGTAACTGGTTCTCATTTGTACTTTAATGTAAAAATTATTTTACATAGCTGTACCAATACAAAATACATTTGAGAAAGTGTTCTCCTCCCAAAATTCCTGAATGCTTATTTAAATTTCAGATTTCATACACATTTTAGTCTTAATCAGTTTATTTTCAAAAAAGCTCTAATTTCTTTTCGTCATGGGATCCTAAACCAATGTGTCCCTCACAATAAGGAACTGATTTATGTTAAAGGGTGACTACAGTCATACTCAGGTTTTGGTTAAAATTAATTATGACTTTAACAGAATTCATTATATTAGTGCAATTTCTCTTACGCATAGACTTGTATAATTATTAAGTTGTACAATCCTCACTGCTCCCATTCAGAAAAAAACAGCCTTTACACAGGGAAAACTGCACCTGTGCCGTCCGTATGTGTATGAGGGGGCACGCAAACACTGGTGGATTCAACCATGTTAAACACATACGTAGATAATCTACATAAACAGAGGGCCTATGCTTACAGCAAGTATAAGAGAATTAGATTATTAGAGGATATTAAAAGAGCTGCTGGAGTGTTGTGGGATGGGGGGGGCCTTTTTTGGTTTACTTTGTCTTTTAGTGCTATTAGGCAGATATTTCTATGATGAAAAAATCACAATCATTTACAAAACTAACATTGAGCAAAGTTTCAGTCAGAGTGGCTGATGCTGCATTGTTCATGGAGTTCGAGCTTACTGTGGTAAATTCTGGAGTCTTGGAGCAGAGGATAGAAAGTTGGGCATCCCGGAGTTATTAATCAGCCTCTAGCAATAAATCTCTTTGTAGCCGTTCCCTCTCTGCTTCAGTTTCTTCATCTGTGTGGCTCACAGGATAGCTCTCTTTCGAAGATACAAGCAACAGAACTAGTTAAATAAATTAACCCTTCACCTTGTAATATAAACACATGATGCATCTCACTAGGCAGAGAAAAAGATGAAGTACAAGCAGGAGGGTGAAATAAGGAATTAAATCCCATGTGTTACAATATATTTTTTGGGTCTTGTAAACTAACATAGACTGCAAAGCCACAGCAAAGAGTCATAACACAAGCATTTATTGTATTAGTCAAAAGGATTTGAGAAAAGCAGGGGGACAACTAATGGTCCTGAGAGCCAAGAGCTTTCAATTTTACTCTCTACAGTGAAATCAAAAGCATGTCAGTTAATACAATTATGTGAAGTGTTCTAAAATAGCATGTTTCATTTTCTCTTCACTTGACTTTTTTTTTTTTTTTTTTACAAATTTTCTAGCTAAAGTGTATAAAGACTATGAAGACAACTGTCCAAGGTAAGTTGGATAAAAAAATGTTTCCTTCTGGCAAGGGTGAAATAAGCAATGAATAATAACAGACGGCTTTGGAGGGATGGCAAAGAAGAAAATCCAACATGTCATGCAGCCTGCATGGAAATGTCAGAGAGCAGGTTGGTTATGGAAAAAAGTTTTAAAAAAAATCACGAAAAAAAAAATCATGTGGGAGAGAGGTACTCCGGTCATTTTATCAACAATGAAATAATTGCATGCTAATATCATAATTTTATATACCAAAGGAACTGCAAGATATTGAGCTAAAACAGTATTTACTATCACTCAAACTCAATAAATCTATAATAATTAAAAACAACTCTCAGAAAACAATGAGAAATTATAGTCTATTTAATACTTCTGGAGCAATAATTTATATGTATTTACATTTCATGCCTTTCTTTTATACATGACATTCAAAAGCAGTAAAATGGAGCCTGTTTACAGCTGCTGGTTAACTCATGATCTGTTACAAGTCTGTTTCTCTTATTCCATATAAATAAAAAAAACCCCAAACCACACTTTAGAAAGATGGAAAGAGTCTCATCTCAGCCCAAATATAGAAGGCCCTTGAAATAAAAATATAGAAGCCTTCACCTGTTCCCCAAAACCAATCCTCAATTACAAATTTACCTGAAGATGGGAAGTCTGTCTATTACTGCCTGTTCAGTTGAAAAATACCACTGAAAAAGTGGTGTTAATTGCATTATGTCATTCCCTTGATGATGCAAAGTACAGGGATGTAATAGGAACAAGGTTATACGGTGCTTCCCACTAACAATTCCCATCTTTACAAACATGCTTAAAAACATTTTCAAGCAACATCAGATAATGAAATACAGAATACCATTAAATATCCAAAGCTGAACTTTTCTTTGGTCTTCTCTAGTTGTGTTGACCTAAGCATTTTAGCTGAATCAAGAGCAGACTTTTTAAGAACACCTCCCCAAAAGACTCCTTTAGTGCATTAGTTTGTATTGCAAAGTGGTCTCGAGGACATGAACTGGGTTCCTTTCAATGATTGTTAATATGTCCAGCACTGTATCAAACAGTAGCTTAGTAGTTTTGAGATTAGTTTTATATTTAACTAAGTTACAGGACAGAAGAGTTCAATTCTTGACTAGATAACAAATCTCTCTTCAGAACATGGATATTGCCATTTCTTCCCTTTCTGCTAAACTGGTATTTCCCCCTTCTCCCCGATATTTTTGGTCATCTTTTTTAGATCACATACAATCCACTATTGCTATATGTGTGTAAAATGTTTAAAGTATAATAGCGGTGTCCTAAATAAAGCATATTCTGTGAATTAAAAGTATTTTTCCATTCCCCTTCTAGCTACGATGACTATTACACAGAAGATGACCCAGTTTATGGCAATCTCAATCAAGGGACTTTCGGTAAGCTTCACTTTAAGAACATGTGCCTGTTCAGAGGCTATAATAAATGTATGGTTAAAAGCTGACTGACTGGTACTTTATGTGTTTCTCAATAGCAAACTTGAGAATCTACCCCTTTTCATTTGCGGTATTAATACCTACTTGGGGTAGAACTGCAAACCATCATACTGCTCTACTATTTGTAAGACCAGATCTCATACCAAATTTGGTTTTTTACAGTCCAAATGGTCCTGTACAGCCAAATCTCTCAAAACCAAGAGCATTTCCACATGTAAAGCTGCACCAATTGAAATAACAGCTTGATCCCTGTGTGTTAAAGCAATCTAAGACACACGTTACTCCCTGCCCAAAGTCAATGTTCCCACAGAAGCTGGCAGAAACAGCCACATACCAGTTCTCTGCTGTGGCTATCCACGGATCAGCAGCAGTTGACAAATATGCTGAAACAAGCCCAGTGGCTGAATGGTGGGCAACCATGGCTTTTTCTCTGCTTTACTGGGCTGAAGTTAATAATCCTTGGCAGAAAAATACCATGTTAAAGGCAGTAATGTCACATAACTGCAGCTAGAGCTAGATATGCTGAGGGTATATCTCTCAAAGCCCTTATGGTGTTACAGTGGTATTTAAGTAACATGAAAACAACTTTTGTGCTAGCCTTATTTGAGGTTAAACAAAACTGAGCTAAAGTACTTGAACTGTGGGAGAAAAAAAAACCCAAACCCAACTTTTTCATATAGAGTTTGCATAAATTTAACTAAGCCAACACTCAAATGCATTGACTCTACAAAAGCCTAAAAACTGTAAGGAAGTAATCTGTTTTACTGACAGTTAAAATGAGAAAATAACTTGCACCAAATTTAGAGACAACTGGAAGTAGAATCAGGAATAGAATTTAATCACCAGCTGCTGCAACTCACAGCCTCTTTCTCAGCCAAGGAAAGATTGCCTATGCTGAAAAATACATTGGTACGTGGTTACCCCCGAATTGCAAGATGTCCTCCTAGGAGTCTAAATGGATGCCCACTTAGTGAATAATGAGAAACATCCATATGAACAGAAAATTATTTTCATTTTCACAGTATGCGTGTCTGAATTTCTTACCTATTTGCCCCTCTATGAATAGAAGGAGAGATTTGTGTGTGATTTCAAAACAAAACAAACTTCTACCAAAGTAAATTGGGGGGAGTTACTACTGTAACAGGGAGGATCTGTTGATCTGATCTTTTAAGACTCAGTAGCATGTCTTAAACTAAAACATTTTTCTACTTTGATAAATTCTAGAGGAATGTTGTTACGAGCAGATGAAATCCCAGCCTCAAAGGCCAGTTAACCAACTACAGGTATCTTTAATTTTAATTCTGGATTTCTGTATTAGAGTAATGTGGTCTCAGTTCTCATGTTTAGGCCATGACAATACATGACAAAAATCTTCACATTGCTCATCACAAAAAATTACCACGCGTTAGTGTCTCAGTTCATCAGGGAATTTAAGCACAGACTTGACACTTCTTCAATCTGGGTCATTAATGAGGGAGCAGGAGAATTCTAGACAGCTCATTTACATCCATATGGCATGACAAAGCTCAGTCACAGGCATGCAGATCAGGCTGAATTAAGCCTGTGTTTACTGCTAAGGCTTATGTAAAGAATTAATTTTATTTATTTTGGACATCAACCAAGTGAAAAAACAATATCACATGATAATCATGAGTTTGACTCTGTCCTACCCAGCACAAAATCTATCTGCCTTAACAAATGAAAGACTGTTTTTCCTATTGGTTTGTATTTTGTTGAGTTACTTGGATACCTAAAAGCACACAGGCTTTAACTGAAATTTGTCTGTAATTGAAGCACTCCCAGCATCAATCTCCTGAGTTGATTTCCAGGTATTTCCTAAGGACCAATTTCCAGCCTCTCTCAGGATACTTCCAGGGGGTAGAAATATCTTTTTTTTTTTTTTTTTTTTTTTTTTTTTTTTTTTTTTAATCTAGATGTGGTGGGTTGACCCTGTCTGGAGGCCAGGTGACCACCAGAGCCACTCTATCGCTCCCCACCTTCACTAGACAGGGGAGAAAAGGTATAATGAAAGGCTTGTGGGTTGAGATAAGGACAGGGAGAGATCATTCACTAATTATTGTCATGGGCAAACCAGACAACTTAGAGAGAAAATTCATCTAATTTATTACCAAGCAAAACAGAGTAGAGGAATGAGAAAATAAAATCAAATCTTAAAACACCTCCCCCCACCCCTCCCATCTTCCTGGGCTCAACTTCACTCCCGGTTTCAACCTCCTCCCCCCTCAGCATTAACTACATGGAAACAGAATAATCTATAAAAATTCCAATGTCAAAAGTGATAATTTGGCTTGAAAAACACAAATAGAGGTAGGGGAAAAAAACACACAAAGTATACATTTTGCACTGGGAATGAGATTATATATACAGACAAGAATGACCCATCTTTGGTTTTTTGCACAAAGCCTGTGAAAAATATTGTTGCTAATAACCAGATTCTAATTTAAAAAATAACAAGTGGGAAGAAAACCACATCAAATAATGTCTGCAAAGAACTTGGTCTGCATATAAGCTACCCTCAATACCATAGAGAATCTTTCCAATAATACCTTGATGATTTTTTCCTTACTGCCATTATCCTAAAACCATGAGTCCTTTACCATTAGGTTATGTTGGTCTGTTTTCTGTGCTGCCACAGCTTAATCGTTTGTAATTTTAATGAGCTCATTCACAGCTAGTTTGGGTAAACTTCAGCCACTATTATGATTACAGCATAGACATACTCTAAGTCTTAGACATAATTTTAAAGCAGGCATAACTACTGAATGTTAAGTATACAGTGAATTTCCTTCTAGGTGGAGTCTGCCAATCAGATGTGTTATGCCTCACTTGATCACAGCATCAAGGGAAAACGCAGAAAACCAAGGAGAAAGAAAGACACTTCATTAGAGGAGGATGAAGAAGATAGATCATGTAACCCCACCACGATGGCTTCCAAAGTTAGCATTTACCTCAATAGCGAGCAGCTGGCTGCTGAAAACGTAGAAGCCATTCATGACGGTCCCATCAGATAAACGAGTTTGATTCATACTACAAAAGGAGAGAATATCTGAAATGGCTTCACGAGCCAAATACGTAATCCGTAAAGTGAGATTCTGCTTGTTCATTCTGGTGGAACAGTGAATGATTAGAGATAATATCCTGGCAAACTGACATACCAAACAATGGTATAAAATGGACAAGTTAAGTGTTCCAAAGTGTCTTCCAAGCACATTCATGAGCTAAGCAAGAACTAAGATCCAGAGTGCCACTTTGAAGGATCTGCCCTTCTGAAGACATTTTGAAAGGGGGTTTGTAGAAGCTAGTATCTCAACATTCACACAGTATTGACTTCAGTAAGAATTAATCCTTTGTTTAAAACAACCATCAACTTTCAAACAGTCCCAGAAGACACACGCTGTTGTCTGTAAAGCTCTAGCCGAGTATAACTATTCTTCTATATAGGTTTTAACAGTACTTTTGGAAGGAAATTGTGTTTCATACTTGCACACTTAATGATTTAGCTGTTTTCCCAATTAAAAACTGTTCTGCTGTTCAACATTGTGTACTTCCTCACTGTGACTGGCCAATGGTAATAACACAATATATCTAAAGCTAAATGGAGAATAATTTAACAGCTTGTTTAAAGTAGTAATTGTACATCTCAAGATTTAACAATATCCTTATATATCTTTATTTTCCTTCTGTGAGCAATACCAGAATACATCTCAAATCTCGACGCCTCTACTAACGTAATGTGGTATCCAGACGTATTCAAGAGTCGACAAAAATATTGGCAAATGATCTGTAACAATAAGTCTCCTAGGGAGGATTTTTTCCTTCTAATGTTCTATGTGATGTTTAAATTTGTTGTGTTTTACATTGCCATTGTTACCAACTATTTTAAAAAAGTAAAAAGAGCTTTTTATTTCCCCAAATAATTCACATACTGTGTGCACATTCATCTTAAGACTTTAAACTCATCAGATGGTAAGGTTTTATAGAGTGGGGATTTATTTTTATATTCTGGGAGTCATTAAGTAGTAGTAGCAGGGAACAGTAAGGCATGTTGATGTAATACGTCTACCTCTAGGTGTCAGACAGTTCTGCCTTCTCAAAAAAATAGTATTAGTGCCTTTAAAATCCACGCCGAGCGCAATGTCAAGGAACTTGAAACTCTCAAGCACATATGGAGCCCTGCAAGTGTTTTGGGCCCTGAAGGAGATAGCACTGTAAGCAGTTACAAAACCCCAAACAAATGAAAAGCCCATAGTACAAAGAAACTCTTCTAAAAGCAGAAGTGGATAGACATGTCCAGAGATGGAACAAATTGAAGAAAAAAAACAATGTAAAAGAAACAGCTCTTTGACAGCCTGGTTCATGTTTAGTTTAGCTCATAGATAATAAGGCTCTTCAACATGCCTTAACTTCTATGCTAGACCAAAAGGAAGGGGCCAACCCCTGCAGCCAAAGCTGCCCAGTGTCACTGCCTGTCTTGTGATAGCACTTGCTTTTGTGCGCAGAGATCAAGTCAACATATGTTTGGCTGTTGCATCCCAGAAACAAGACAGACTTGGAATTAAAGTGACTGTGTTATCACAGTCTTAGACTGTTGGATAAGCAAAAATAAATACTGCTTGAAGAATTGATAAAAAACACTTCAATGGAGAACCACATTAAATGATGATCCTGCCTAAGATCCTATGGGGGGAAAGGAGGAAGGCAAATCCAAAGCCAAAGATCCAAAGCTAACACCAAGATATCAGCACAGGAAGTACTAATTTATTTAGATTGGAAGGAATTATACTTTGTTCCATTGTAGGAACAAATTAAGTAATAAAATACATATCAACATACTCTTAGACTCACAGATCAAAATTGTTTGAATAACATTGATATGTAAAATATTTATATAATTTTTTTAACTTTAGCTGGCACCAATCAGATGCCATACTCAGCCCTCTGAGATGATTAAAAGAGAACGCTTTCTTAAACAATCTCTCAACCAAGTAAGCACAGGCCCAAGAGTCTACTTGTTACTATTTTCCAAACTACACATGAAACAAGGGATGTTGTATTTTCATTGAATACAATTTGTGTACACTTTGTACAAAAGTTGCTATTTCCCAATTTTCTCACAGCATTTTCACTATTGATTATACCTTTCCTCTAAAAATTCCAGAGGCAAAGAATTTTATGAGTTACATAAGTTCAACCTGTCATTTCAGCCTGATCATTAATTTAATGGAAATGAAGTACACACTTCTCTCATTGAATGTACATGTAACAATAAGTCCACTTCATGGGATTTAGGTACATCTAGTTTCCTCTGTATTCTTAGACTTCATTGTTTAGTTCAGCTATTTATTTATGCCAATTTTCAGCAGCTGCTTTCCGTTGCAACATAGCTTGCTAAAAGAGAAGGGCACTTTTGTAAATATTCTCCTTCAATATATACTTCCTTCCTCTATTTGATTGCTGCTTCCATTACTCACTGCTGCTCTCACAGACTCCACTTCAGGATCATCTTTAATGGCCTATCAACTGTTTCCAAGGCACTTCTAATGCTGCCACAGTCCAGATTTAGCTTTATTCCTCCAGCTCTTTACCTTCTGCCTGCTTAAATAAGCAACTGAATGACCTATTTTTTTAATGACTTTTTGGGATAGTTTTCAAATGACTACTGAATTCTTACATGAAAGAGCATGTTCAATATTGCACTGTCTTCAAGCCACTAGAGAAAGACCTACATAAATATCATATATTAGTTAAATTCTTTATACATAAAGTTTCAACTAATTACAAGAAAATAAAAGGAGATACTAGGTCTACGTTTATACTGTCTCAGTAACCTAGCCTGTTTTTCCAGTGATCTTGAAGCAGAGGGAAGCAGTGTGAAGCTGTTTTTATTAACAGTAAGTTTAGCATTCAAGTACCAGTTCAATGGAACAATGAAGAAAGAGTAAACAAGAAATATGGTGGAAGAAGAAAAACTGGTTGAAAGGGAAGAACAGAGCTCAAACCAGAGGAGACGCCAAGTAGCACCACAAAATCTTTGTAAGTTTACTCCAGCAATCATTATAGCATCTGACAATCACTGCAGATACATCTGTTTAAACAGTATTGTTAGGAAAAACACCACAGACTTTTGGTTATATTGTACTTTTAAGAGTCTGCCGACTCAAGCGGATGTTGGAGGATCAAACTCTAAAAACAAATGTGTAACTTTCTGCCAGTTTTTTGCTACTGCTAGCATCAAAAAGGTGGCATTGGGATGAGCTCATCTTCCAATGCCTCAAGGTTTTTCAAGAACTACCTCTTAAATTCTTTCAGAGTAATTTTCATGGAGACAATGACCTATTGCTATGTTGTTTAACTAAACTTACCTTCCTACCTGGGTAAGCCTGCATTCAGGTTGCCATGTAGAAGTCACATCTAGAGTCAGAGCATGTCCAAACCCAATTCCAGTTTACCTTTAAGAACAGAAAACATTAATGGAGTTTATGTAATCTCTCAGTACTGGTGTATCAAGAAATACTGGGAAATAATTACCTCAGCAATCCAAGGGGAAGGTAGGATATTCCCTACAGTTCATCCATGTCGGGAACAGGAAGAAAAATGAGCCACAAAAGCATTTCTAAAAGGCGATCTGTTATTGCTGTTGTTGTAGGAAATATAATATACAAATGATGAAGGATAGAATACATGTGTGTGTATATTGCAGAAGTTCTTGTCTTATTGCGGAGTAAACCTCACTGAAGCTGACTTCTTGCTTCATTCAAGAACAAGACTTAAGACAAAATCTTTGTTTTAAGAGCTAAAGTATCGTAAAAAACTCCTGTGTGCCCAGAAATGAAGTAAAGCCAAAGTAACAAAGTAAATGAAGTAAAGCTATGGCAGAGGGGTTGGAACTAAATGATCTTTGAGGTCCCTTCCAATCCAAACTGTTCTATGAAAATTATTTTTTCCTTTTCTGGAGCTCAGAAAGCTGAGAAAGGGCAATACTGATAAAACAGAGTGTACTTGACCTGACACATACCACCAAAACAATCTCCTTGCCAAGAAAATACACAGCAGTGAAAAATCTGTGGATCCCTGCCACATCACTCTCATGTACGTGCTGTAGGTATACAAACTCCTGAGAATTTGCATACCTAAAAAAAAAGGTTGAAAGCAGGTTATTTGTTCAGAACAGGTTTTTATTTAGAATATATATTGTGTCAGGTAGAATTTTGTCAGAACATAGAATATAACTGTCATTTCCACTAAAAGTTATAAAATTTTATTGAATAATCAACTTTGGTGAGTTACTTAGAAAATTTAACATTAAAATTACATAGCATATTACAAGTCATAGCATATAATACTGCATTTGGACCATCCAGCCCAGTTTACTGATACATCTATATAGCATGAATAGGCAGAAATTCATCAGAAAGAGCTTGTTATATATCTTATTCTTAATACATTAAGAACCAAAGCTTATCAGCAGATAAAATGATAATACAGATCACATTCTGTTATTTTAAATACTACTAAATACGTAATTTAAACTTAACCATAGAAAGGAACCCTGATTCCCCGCGATACCTGATGAAGCCAAACGAGTAAGAAATGCCCTGTCGGAAGGGACGAAGCGGTTCCTGAAGATTTATATTACAGGAAGTATAAATCAGGATTAATTGTATATTACATCCTTGATTCTTGGAAAAACAAAGAAAAACAAAACAAAATGAAACTTTATAAAACGGTGTTTTCTCTGTAGGTGTCCATGAATGCTCATTGGTGAGTTTTGACCAGGAAGTCATGCAAGGGATTGCTAGGATTTTGGTCTTTCCCATCAGTGTAGCTTAGTTTTCTGGATACCCTATAGAAAAGAATTGTTTAGATGATAAATTACACAAAAATACTATGCTTGCTGAAACTCTGATGAATATAAAGAAATTGAAACAAATTACCAAAGCAAGATATCTGAACATCTTGAGTGTGAACAGCAGCAGGACTCCCTGTCTGCATTGCCATGGGCTTTCAGCTGGAGAAAAAAACCTTTTCATCCTATGTCATTTTAATGTCTCAGTAATGCTACTACATTAACCTAAATTATATAAATATCTATTAAACTTTGAGATGTAATCTTTGAATGTATTCACAAATAGCTAAAAATGAAAGATACAAGTGAGAATACAATTATTTCCTTGCATATTACTTAGAAATGGTATAATTTATTTTTTAACATCTATTTTAAACTATTTTGGTTTACATCTGACAATTAAGTATAGCAGAATAGCTGTAGGACAGCATTTACACAGAGCTGAAGAAAAATTTATCAGTTATGAATGTTTCCTTTTCTGAAATATCTTTTTCATAATCATCTTCTAGATAAAGGCAATCAAGTTCCAGACAAGATGACATTATTCCTTTTCTTTCCATGATTCATTATAACATACAGCATTTTGCCACATGGCTTAAGCATAAAGCTTCTGAGGGCTCTGAAGCCATTAAAGAGCACCTTCACTGCTGGGAACCATAGTTAAGGAAGCTTGCCAGCTGAGGGTCCGTTTCAGCTACAAATCAGCAAACATGCATTTGTGTAATTAAGGAACAAAGAAACAGACTTTATTCCAGATGGCTTGACAAGAAAGCACTCTGTGAAATCCTGATTTCCTACTCTCTCAAACTTCTCTACTTAGATACATTAAGGAAAGGTAAACCTTTTCCTTCAGAACAATTACTAATCTCATAGGGAGGGCTATTTTGTATGGAGTCAGGAAAAAGAAGTGAGGGAAAAAAGCAGAAATCCAAGAACCAAGCAGAAATTTACTCAGCTAAATGGGAATACTCAACATCACAGAAACATCCTTGTATACTCATCAGCTTGCCTCCAATCTTCCATTTTATCAAAAATGATCCAAATACAATCTTTATCGATATTGCTATATATTTGTAATCCAAGCCTCTAAGTTTTAATTCTATCTTTGCTTAAACTGAAACTTTTTAAAATCATGCAGCCGCTTTTTATTTAAAATAACAAATGACTATAATGAACACAAAGGAAGGACTAGAGTAACTATTCTGTTAGGCCATCTTACTAGCTTGTGTTCACTGGCCATCTATGCTGGAGTCTGGCTAGTTTTGTCCACAGACTCTTGCCTCCCAGTGTTCAGGTCAGCAGATTTGATTAGCTTAGGCTCTCTAAAGCATCCATGCTGATTTTCATTCTAGAAGTATGCATGTAAGAGACAACCTCCATAACTTTAACGTAAATGTAGAGCAGCAAGAATTTCTTTTGAAATTTCTTTTCTCAAAAGGCACCTACCTTTGGTGACACTTCTGTGCATTTCCAGAAGAGCTGTAATTCTTCATTTCCCTAGGCCAACCACAGTGGGCATCTGCAATCCCAGATTCTGGTGGTGAAAAACAGTAGTATGAAGAGTGTAAGAACAATGCTGAGTAGCACGGACACTACAGTATGTTGTTAAAATATTAGCCTACTAAGACATTCGTAATACTTCATTGGCACAATTCAATGAACAAACTTAATTATGAAAATATTCTAATGCAAAAGGTTCTGGCAAACCTTTTGCATTAGAATGGCAAAATGAATTTCAAATACATTTTATACACTAAATATATTTAAGTATAAGCTAGGTTTCTTCAAAATGGTTATAATTTATCAACATTAGAAAAAGGTAGAAGAAACTGTTGATATAAAAAAATGTAATAAAAAAGTATGAGTTAAAATTTGAGGAAGACAAAATAAGACAGATAGGATAAGTCTACCTCAAATAATCAAATTCTCTACAATTAATTGGTAATGAAAATGCAACAAGGCAAGAACCATGCAAACAAATGCATTTCTTCTGCCATTTTCTTCTTGTATACCAGTTGACAATATTTCAAGTCACCTTCTTCAGTATTTTCCTTTACACATTAGTTATCTTGATGACAAGGTTCATAAAAATAAAATATGGAAAATAAACATTGGTGATTTTACTTAGCAGGAAAAAAGTTCAAGTTATGTTATAAACATGCTTTAACCAAAATCAGATTTTTAAAAGGAAATTTTAAAAGTAGCATCTAAAGTCTTAAACTAATATAGTTTTGGTGGTTTTTTAATAATAAAGTTCTACCGTCCTGAACTGGCAAATGCCTCATTATCCAAATTAATAATCTAATTCACCTAAGCAAGCAATAGTACCCATGCAACAGCTCAGTTGCAAGTTTTTGTAAAGCTGAAGAATCCAAACAAAAGCATTTGGTTATTGAAGTGCAGGATTAACAAACTATGAAAAAAAAAATATTTAGATACAGAAGGTAAAAGCAACAGCAAACTTAAAAAAAGGAAGAGAGAAAACCACTGGATAATAAGGAATACTTTAGTAGGAAAAGTCCTAGTTAACCTAAAGAAAAGCTTCTTAAATAGCTGTTAACATGAGATTCAGGAAACCCTTTTCTGTATAGATTCCTTAAAGAACACTTAAACACACCCAGTTATTACTGAGGAAGAAGAGCTGTCACCTGGACAGTAGTCTATTGACATCTGTAGCTTTACCCCTTGAAGAAGTGCTTGAGATTGCTAAAGTAGTAATTCAGAAAGTCTCTGAAACTAACCTTGCAGAAAAGTACCAGGAATACCAAGAAAAGTTTTATCTGAAGAGGCATGAAACCCAGAGTCCTGAAAATAAAGAATCAACAGATTACATTGGTGCAAAACCTCACATATTTCACAGCTTGCCTCAAAAGAAGTGTCTGAGAACCTGGACATAAGGGCCTGATTTAATATTTAAATCAACAAGTCTAACAATTCCAATGGAACTTAGTAAAGCTTAATTTGTTTGCCTCACCCTGTACATCTATAAAATGAAAAAAAAAAGTCATTATTTCAGAAGGACACCACCTTAATTAACAGGGTCACAGTTCGAGATTATTTTAACCAGTGACACAGTCTATTAAAGTGTAACAATCTTTTATCGAGTATTGTATAACCATTTTCAAGGTTATTAAATACAGTGAGCTTCCTCATATGATCCAGGAGACTTCATACAACTTATATTTTAGCAAACAAAAATCCCCAAGACTCCAAACCTGTAAACCAACCCTACTGACCAAATAGCACCAGAAGCATGCTGTCACTAGTTTTAACAGCTTCCAGCTCTATTCCATTTTTAAGCCCTTCTCCAAATATCAGCAAAGAGTATACAATCACTTTTTTTACAAAGTCCTTAAGTACCTGACTCTGACAGTTGTGACTGTCAAAAAAGTTGGGGTTACTGCCATTGTATGTGCTCAAAAAATCCATGCCAACTGTCTGAAGATTAACATTTTTTCTGTGACAAATCTGTTGACATTTTGGTGAAGGAAAATAACGTTCTGGTATATTTTTCAGTCGCTTTACTGGTGAACAAAGAAAATCATTTTGAAAATTTCCTAGTCTTTTAACTCTGGGAATTGCAGATAAAGTTCGAACCGGTGAGTTAACGAGAGCATTTACAGTTTCAGACATCTGTATTCCTTCATATTTCCTTAGATTTGAAGCTCTCTGAAACCCAGGAAGTTTTGGAACAGCCTCACTACACAACTGCTCATAGATCCTGTCAAATTCTCTATCATACTGTATATCAGACCTCTCAGAATCACTTAAATTACTCTTCACTAATCTCCCTTTCTCTTCAAGGTTCTGTGAATTTGAAAGAGGTCTTGTCAATGTCAAAGGCTTTTGGATTTCTTTGGAACACAGTTTGTAGTAGAGTTTTTCAAATGCATCTTCGTATTTCTGGGGCATCTTTGAAGGACTCTGCTTCATATACAATGAGGAAAACGAGTGTTTGCGCTGCAAAGAAATTCGTCTTTCGGAATTTTTTTCAGGATTTATGAGCAAAGCATTTGATGATCTTGCAAGAGAAGAGTTTGCGACCAGTGTAAAAGTGTTACTATTGCTGTAGGAACTACAAGTAGATGAACACAACTCTGAGGTATCACCACCAGGAAAGTCAGTTTGAGTTTTACTCTCTTTTAACAGATGAAGTGCTGTTGACCCTGAACTGGCAGCAGACATTATAAAACCATACTCTGAGGAACATTTGTAAGCCAGTTTTTCACTTTCTTTGCATTTTGAATTTTTCGGTGAGACAGTGGTCTGTAACCCATCTTCAACTAGAAATGTCTCTCCCATTCTAGCCATAACACTAGGAAAAATAGTCTGTTTGGAGACTTTTTGGCCTTTTCCAGATAATAAATGATGTTTGAAACTTGAGTCAGAGTAGTCCATTTCGATTTCATTTGCATCAATGTAAGAATAAGGTGCCAGACCAGATAAATTATCAGTGGAACATTTATCATCACAAAGTTCTCTGTTCTCATTTCCAAAAGTTTGATTCTGGATGTCTTCACTTCTGCTGCCGCATACGCTGAGTAGTGCTTGCTTCAGTTTAGGAGGCCTAAACCCTCTTATTTTGTCTACAGTGACGTTGAACTTTGGTCTTCTGGAACGCCATCTTTTGTGCCTTAAGTATCTAAATATGTATTTTAACTCTTTTCTCTGATACTGCTTTGTCATGAGCCTTGTAAGCATCTCTACCATCACTGGATACAAGTCTGCAAGAGTTATATTGTTCCAGGAGCATTCCTCATCTGCAGACTGGTATTCTTCCAAGATACTATCATAGTAAGTTTGATTTGGTTGTGGAGAAAGTCGATGCCTGGGTATGGTTGTTGTATTTGGTGAAATTTGTAACTGTAGAGGTCTGGATGAAGAACATTCATTTGACAACTCTACTTTCTTTCTGCAAACAGCAGCTTGGTTGCCTATTAAAAAAAACAAATTAATCACAAAAAGCCAGAAGAAGAAAAAAATCCCAAACCCTTTAGGGCACTTTCAGTAATGTATTACATGAATTAGAAACAATTGCATGCGGTACAGATAGTCTTACTGTAATAGCATATTTCATTAAGCTTTTTTGCCAGGCTAAATAGATAATTAACATACAATCCATTAAAAAAATGAAAAGGTTTTTCCTAACCATATTGAATGAAATGTGTTGGAAAAAAAATATTTTAAAATAGCTTAATATATAGATATAAAATATTTTCATTGTAGAGGCAGACTGCTTTGCTTTTTTGTGATTTCTGACCAGGAGGAAGAGCCTGATCCTACAGGTTTTCTTACTCTATTTCCATATTACGTGAAAGCTTGGCTAGTCCCAGTGTGGCTTTTCTTGCTGTAAAGCACAATGAAGATAATGCTTTTTGTAGTTGTTAGGCTTGAAATATTTACACCAAAATTACATCTCAGGTTTGCATCAAGTCTGGAGAGCTTCTGGAAAAAGTTTACTAACAAAGTAACATTTTGAGTACCAGTTACCAGTAGACCCAAAGTCATTCATTACATTCCTTGCATATAAAGTAAGAAGAGCCAAAAAATTATGCTTTGACCATAATTAAGCTTAATGCTGCTGAGCTTTGTAACTATGGAACTTTTTTCCTGGTGCTATTTAAGAAAAGCTGGTTTTGTGTATACAAGTTATTTATTTTCTATTTTTCAAATACATTTTGCCATAATCAAAATCATGTCTAACTTCTCTAAGAATCCAACTTGTTGAACTTTTCTGTTGGATAAATAGTGCCTCTGTTTTCAAAAAACTAAACATTTATTTGTAATAAATTTTAATAAAAATATATTTTATAACTAACATATTTGACTAACAATCAGAAGATTTAGTTGTACCAATCAGTTCTTGCACTGGCGAAGCTAAATGAAGGTCTTCTGATGAACCTTGAGGTGCTATCTGAAAAAGAAACAAATCAAAAAGACACATAATCTAATATCCTGACTTTTTTTATTTTTGCACATTAAAGGTAACATCAAAACCTTATTTGTGACTCCTCCTACTCTCTCCTTACTATACTACATCCTGTTCAGAGTTATGGTCCTAAGGGGCTTAGTAAATTTCAGACAAGGAGAAAAAAGTCTACTCAAACTTCAGTAAAAATTTTTTAAGAATTACCAATTTAATCTTGGAAAGCTATTTATCATCTTTGCCACTTCTACATTATGTATCATATTTTAATCCCTTTCCCAAATATGAGAATTTATACATGGATATATATAGCTAGATAATCATCTAGCTGGTAACTCTAGCAACTCATCTCTGGTAACTCTAGTAGGAAACAGAAGCCGTACCATGTAACATAACCCTTCACCCCCAATTCCCCTCACTCCCAAAACCAAAATAAAGCTAAAATTCCTTTTTTTCTCTACAAACCTCAAATTTAGCCTTTTCAGAAAACTTAATGAAGATTAACTTGCACATCAGGGTTCAAACAACAGAGTATAAAAGTAAAAGAAAAAAAAAATTTGGATATCACCTGCTGTTCTTACAAATCACTGCTGTAACAGCAGAGAAGCTGTATTAGAATTCATTGTTATGCAGTTAGAGAGTTCTTATTTTACTCTAATTAGCTAATTACTTAGAATGGGAGAAATATGTTACCGTAATCCACTTTGGAATTTTTCTAGCATAATCTTGTACTATCACATCCACTTGAACTTTTACTTTCTCTTGAATTTTCCCATCATCTACATACAGATTCTTAGAGGGACAGAAAAAAAAAAAAGAGTTAATTAAAACACATAGTTATTGACACTGACAAACCCAAGCATATTACTTAGATTTACTTCAAACTAGTCTTATTCAGATAAGGATATCCAACCAGCATAAACTTATTTTTAATGTATACGTTATATGTAAAAAAATTAAAAAATTCCTGAGAAGCAACTGTATGTGAAGACACATAAAAATATATAACCAGCTTGTTTATTGATGGAGGGAAAAGCACTCCCTGCCTCAGAAGACCCACTGATAAAACCAAACAAAAGTCCTATTGTTAGATTACAAAGCACTGGTAATTATGGCTGCAAATCTTTACATGTATTATTAACATCCCATGAATTCATATACAAATTAAGGTCTACTCTGTAAGGCACATCTGTGTAAAATCTAAGAGCATTTGGTGATAAATGGCAAACATTTTTTATTAGTGAAACTCTTGCTTTCTAAAGCAGTTTGTATTAGCTGTTGTCAGAGACACAATAATGCCTAGAAATATGCTTAACAAGTAAGGAAACTAAATTAAATTTTTGGTAATTGTATTTGAGCAAGTAGAACACAGGATTAGAATGGCTTCACACACAAAGTGTGTTGCACTTTTCTTCATCAATGTAACTACTTTGGGTAGTCCTGATACCCACAGTCTAGTCTGGGAAACAATGGCAGAAGATTCCAGTCTGCTTTTGTTAGGGTAGCCATTATGTCAGATCTACTTTTTTTTTTTTTAAATCATATTACCTGTTTATGCTAGAATCTCAGGTGAACAATCACATTTTTATAAGTGTTTTCACCCTGCGATTCATCCGGTTATTCTTTTTCCATAGCCTTTCTCAGGGTTGCCTGTTCCATGCAATACATTGTATGGCTTTCTCTATTGAAAGCATTTCTATTGAACACAAACTTATTCCATTACATTAGAAACCAGAAATTTTTACCTGGAAGTGAATGTCTTCAAATTGTCTTCTTACTGAAACTATGTCAGCATCACTTTCTTCATCTACAATTTGAAGATAATTACTAAATAAAATCTAGTTGAACTCAAAACAAAACCAGAAATGTTTTTAAACACACACTGTATAACTTATTAATTAAACTGGTTTCCTTTTAGAAAATTGTTTTCTACACTAAAACTTTGTATTACATTTCCATTTCAAGTTCAATTGAAAAATATGGTTTATAGGTTCATAAATGACTCGAGGGGAACAAAGAAGAGTGAAGATAAATCTTGAAGAACTGGTTACAAACAATTTATGCTAACCATTTCAGAGAGTAAAATATTTTCAAAGCACTGGTCTGCAAGATTCACTATTCATTAATGTATCATTCCCACTTATTTCCCACTATATTCCTAAATATCCCAACAAAGATAGTAAGGACCTTCTGCCACACTTCCTTTTCTGTGTTTCTTATTGTCCAGACTGCCTTAGAACTGCCAAGGTAAGAAATAAGACAGACTCGATAATATTAAAAAAGCAAGTCCAAATCTTCCAACTCAATTCTTAGGTATTCTATGGGAATTTTGAATGACACGCAACAAAACATTTTTCTGCTAGATGTAGCCAGACCTTCCAATTCATCATTGGCTAAAGCCTCAGTCTTTCATGTTCATAAAACATGTGACTGAATTGTAAGCCCTGATTTCTGAATTTCCATAGCTGTTATATCTTTGTCCCATGATCATGTTCATGGCAGGGAGGGAAAGAAGAAAGGAAAAGGAAAAGGAAAACAATTAGTGAAAAAAATCTTGCTAATGATACCTACCACATTACTGTCTCTTCATATTATTCTTAAATTACTAAAACCAGAATGAAATATTTTCCAGCTAATCCCATCTTCCTTTTTTTTTTTCCCCAGTCAGCACAATCATCATCTAAAGCACTGTGGACAGCTGCTGCCATAGAACTAGGATAGATACATGTGAAAGAAACAGTATCTGTGTGGGAGACAACATGATTGCCCACCTTCTGGTGAAAATGTTGAGCAAGCAGAGGGTTGGCTTTGATAAGTCTACCTGACCCCAGTAGAATTATTTTATTAGAATTGAAACCTATACCTGTGAGATTATAAAAGTTTCTTCCCACATGAATAATGGAAGGCAAAGTTGTGGCCACTTATTCCACAGGAAATCAGTTACTAAACATCAATATGTTGATTGATCCTCCTCAATGGAGGAAGCAGTAAAAATGTTAATGTTTTAATCCGGAAAAGTTTCGGCCTCCAGTTTCTGCTGTGACAGCTGATACTCTTTCTGCCATACAGCCTTCTTCCTCCAGTAGAACTGGGCACCAAACTGGCAGAATGTCACTGAGATGACCAGACTATACTGCTATAAAAATGGGAGATTCTTCAGATAAAGGTAACAACTCCTGTGTCCAGGAATGGTCAACTCCATCACGCCAATTACAAATTATTAGAAAATAGCTTGTATCATAGAATGATTTGATCCATATACAAGCTGAACACTCTTCTAGGTGTGAAACCTCACAAGAGTGTAATTTTAAGATGTCTTCAATGTATTGCCAATCATACTTCAAATCACTGCAACATTAATTACTAGCAGAGGACCATGGCAGCACAGAATGGCAAAAAGCGAAGTATCTTCTCCAGGAAACCTTAAAGTGTTTAAGGGACAAAAGTGAAATTCGGGGACACCTTTCTTCAAGTGCAGACAAGAGACGAAGAGCAAGAACTCCCACCTTTCTCTCTGGAAAGTCTGACTAGGAGGTTATTTCACTGGAGATGCACTCAATACACTATCATTACCTAAGAGACATATCTTATGTAAAAGATGAATATGTTAGTAAGGGGGGTACTGTAAATTTTAAGTTTTGACTTTGGTGTGATCATCTAAATTTAAACACACTTAGAAATATATATACAATTCAGATTGAACTTTCTCCCCTTTCTCTCCAAATAAATTCATTTTTCTGTGATACTATCCTAACAGATAAAAAGAATTGTTCAGATATCACTATACTTTGCCATACTACTTCCTGTGAAACCAAAGAAAGTAGACCTAATAATTTTCCCTATTAAGGGCAGACCAATACTTGCAGGCACAGGTGAGAGATGGTTCACTTTATTTATACCTGCTGTTGATAGGCTTTGCATACTTTTAGAACAAAAATACTGTATAATACCTGGAAGAAACACTGCCTTCGCTGAGAAGTGTGAAGCATTCTGTATGGATACTAAAGATGGAAAAAACCTGCCAAAGCTAAAGTTTTCGCTAAAGATACACTTTTTTCTTAACAGTTAACACGCCCTATTGCTAACTTTATATATATATATATAAAGAAAAAAACAAAACAAAACCCCAAAACACCTAGGTGAATTCCATTTTTAAGTGAGGAATCCAATCCCACACCTCTAAGAAGCTAATTTCTATGTCTTACTGTATTTGGAGATAGCTGGGACTCACCAAGGATGCTATAAATCCTCTCCAGTCTCTTCCTAGAACATTCACAAGAGAAGGAGGAGGAGTGGATAATCATATTATCATACTCTGCTATGAAGATACCAGAGTCTGAACTGCATCACTCATTTATCCCATGAGTGCAAAAGACACAAAGGACACTCACAGAAACTAAGCTACAGATGCCTCTGAAATTTGTTTCCTATATTTCATTGCGCAGGTTGAGAAAAAAATGAAGTCACATTTTCTAAATTTGCAGAAGTTTTATCATTCAGATAGATACTTGAAATTATCCTCTCAAATGACAGGAGGACAAATTTGATATTGCTGTTTTCCCTCAACAGAGAAGTAATCATCTGCCTTGGAGACAGCTACGTGTATGAAGCACCTAATTTACACCAGAGTATTTAAACCACCAGCTAACCATATTTTGCTGCAACTGCTCTTTTAATCACTAAATACTGGTTACCACCTATCCATAGTTTAATTTATGCAATATAGTAAGCTTTTATATGCACAAGAATCAAAAGATCTTGAGTAATACGAGTTTTAAATATTTTAAAAACAGTCATTGAAAGGTTGTTACCATTAATTAATACAATTAAATAATTATTTGTGAATACAAGGTCAAAACCACTCAAAACAGGCCACAAGACTGATGCCAAAAGTGTTACAAATACTAGTGAAGATGTATTGCTGCAGCTGAATGCAATATCCATGTTTACCAGACCATTAGAAATTAATGTATATATTCTAATTATTAATACAACTTCTGTTGTCACTTATGCCAAAATTTTGATTTCACTGGTCCTTTATTAAGAAAACACATTTGAACATATTTCACATTGACTTTCGAACGTATCAGGGATTCAGGACTGAGATTTTAAAGATGAATGTGGATATTGATTTCATAGTACTACCAGTACCTCAGTCTCTCATTATTCCTATTCTCTATTTTCTGAAAAGGTACAGAACATGTATTAAAATTATTTTTACTGTATTTGAAAATTATGAAAAAGTTATTTGCAATCTTTCTTAAAAAGTTAAAAGACGTAGCTAAAAAGTAAATTAAAAAACCCACCTATGTCAGATGCATCCACACGAGAGTTCTCTGGAGATTCCTTAAAAGCATATGAAAGGAATTTTAAGACCTGGCAGCATAAGCTGTATTAACTAGTCTGTAGAATTTTCTGCTCTCACTACTTGCTCAATTTTTTTTGGGGGTGGTGGTGATGAAACAAACCCAGTCGTATTCCACAAACTATGTCCAAATGACACCATCTTTATTAACAAATCCATACACAAATTTGTCTTGATCCACATCTAATTACTCAATGGGGAAAACTATTTTCTTCCCAGTCCTTCTATATTCAGACAAATAATGCAAGGAGAAGCTGTTATGCAACAAGAGCAAAAACCACTTGACAGATGAATTCTAATCACCAAATCTTTATCAGTATGTACTGGGCATTTTCTCTGTGTTCCAATGTATAAGGAAAGTTTCTTAACTGCCCACTTTAAACAATTCTTAAATGCCTACTTCAATCAATCTATATATAATATTTCAAATAGTTTTTTTCCTCTATTTTGTAGAAGTTTTGATATTTACATAAAAAGCTCATTTATATGGATAAGGAGCCTTTACTAAATGTTTACAATCCACATCTGACGACATGTGCTTCAGAATTTCTTTTAAAAAAATGTCTAAGTCTGTTTTGTCCAGTTCAATCACAAAATTAGCATATTGTGGGTTAAAATTACATCAATAAAATGAGACAGTCCTAACTACCATCTATTTAGAACAAATAATTAGGAGTGATGAGTGAGATGGCCCATATTGCTCTTCAAATGCTGAATAGGTAAGGAGTCAAAAGAAGTTAATTCTAGACAACCACAGATTTGACAAATAATAATAATTTTAAAAGTTAGACACACATATTGCCTAACTAAAAGGACACTTGATGGTTTAAAGTCTATGTCCAATGCTCTATCTCCCTTTAAATAAACTTAAAAGAAGATAATTCAGCTGAAATCTATGACTGATATCATGGCTGATATTCAAATACTCCAAATATCACAAAGGAAGGGAGGATATGTAATTATATGAAACATACATAAAGCCTACGACATAAACAACATGCACAGGGGCAGAGTAACACTGAAAAAAAAAAAATAAATTGCATGAATCCACTATCACAAAATGTATTAGACCACCACATATAGAAGTCCAGAACTTGAATTCATCACCATCTCAAAGCAGAGAACTTATCGGGGGAGGAAACAATCAGGGGAAGTATACTAGATGATCAACATTAACCAGAACATGAAGATTTGAATCTTACATGGACATGTACCTGGTAAGTAAAGACACATCTTTCCTAAAATAATGCAACTACATGTGGGGAAATATAAAGGAACTGTTTAATAAGATACCTGAAGTTCAAAGAACTGCAGTGAAACAACTGCAGCAAAATACTTAAAGCCCTCAATTTTTTCAGAAGTACTTATTTACGGAGAATAGAGTGATTCAGTTCAGCAATTAGTAGGTCTTTAAAATCTAACTTTATAGCTATGGTACAGGA